CGAGTGGACCCGGTTGGAGCCCCAACCGGTTCCCAAGACATAACACCCCTTCCCCCCAGATGAGAACACACATAATCTTTGAGATACGCCGGTGGTCTGTGTTGGCGACCTGAGCGACGTAACTCAGGAGATTCATTTGGCGAAGACGAGTTCGCGGACTCCAGGTCAGGGTACGTAGTGTGGCGACCAGGGCTCGGTGCAGGAACTGGAGTCAGTGAAAAGTCTCTGCCTTCACTGGGGTTAAACGGTGGTGCTCCCGGCTGGCAGTCCCAGTCTACTGTCTGCTCTCTCTGCTCCGTTGGTGAAGGTTGGTCACTCTGGGAACCCCTAGCTGGACCTTGGAGTGGCGCCCGCGGCTCTTCTGGTGGAGACGGGTCTGGGCCGGTCAGGCTGCTCCGTCGTCTCCGCAGCTGGTCCAGGTGTCTTCGCCACATACGACCGTCTTCAAGTTGGACCCGATAAGATCTCGGACCCGTGACAGCTACGACTTTTCCGGCCACCCACAGTGGGTCCCCCGCATAGTTCCTAGCAAACACTAGGTCCTGAACTGCGAAATTCCTGGCCAGACTGTCAGACCCCAAAGGGGTGTCTGGGCAGTAGTGGGGGTGCAGCCTGTCTAAGGCAGTCCTCAGGCGTCTCCCCATCAGCAGCTCAGCCGGGGATTTGTTCGTAACCGTGCACGGTGTGGTATGCTGGCTTAGGAGGAATTGAGACAGTTTAGAATGCCAACCCACTGGGCCGAATCTGGCTAATGCCTCCTTGGCTGATCTGACTGCCCGTTCAGCCAACCCGTTGCTGGCGGGGTGGAAGGGGGCCGTGAGGACGTGTCTGATGCCTAGATTTGTGACATACCTACTAAATTCGTTTGAGGTGAACTGGGGGCCATTATCGGATACCAGTGTGTCAGGGAGTCCGTGAGTTACAAAAAGGTGAGTCAAGGCTTTAACAACTGCCTGTGTGGTGGTTGTGTGAAGTAAGGCCACATCTATCCATTTTGAATAGGCGTCCACGACCACCAAGAAGGTCTTGCCGTGCATTGGCCCGGCCAGGTCGATGTGAAGCCGTGACCACGGGGCATTGGCACTTTCCCACTTTGTGGGCATGGCGGTTGGCGGGGCTGCCCTAGATTCTTGACAGGGTCGACACGAGCTTACCCACTTGGCGATCTGATCGTCCATCCCGGGCCACCAGACGTAGCTTCGAGCTAACGCCTTCATCCGCACGATTCCTGGATGGCCCTCGTGCAGCATCTTCAGGACGGGTATGCGAAGGGTGGTTGGTATGACCACTCTGGTACCCCACAATAGGCATCCCTGCAACTTGGAGAGCTCTAGCTGGCGAGTTTTAAATGGGGCAAAATCAACTGAATAGTTAGTTTCCGGCCACCCCCTCCCTACCCAGTCCAGAACCTGGGCGATTGTTCTGTCCTTCTTGGAATGTGATGCTATGTCGTCTGCAGTCACCGGTAGGTTTAGTTCATTTACATCAAAAATAGTATGCACAGGAGCTGGGTCCTCGACTGGGGCTGGCAAGGGGCAGCGGCTGAGGGCATCAGCGTTGTTTAGATTTTTTCCGGGACGATAGACCAGTTTGTATGAGTACGCCGCCAGGAATAAGGTCCATCTGGTCATTCTAGGTGACAATATCTGTGGGGTTTGCTTTTCCCCTGATAATAATCCTAAAAGCGGCTTGTGATCAGTAATAAGTTCGAATTGGTGTCCGAATAGAAATTCGTGGAATTTTTTTACTGCTGCTACTGCAGCCAAGGCCTCCTTATCAACCTGGCTGTAATTACGCTCAGTCGTTGAAAGGGTTCTTGAAAAGAAGGCAATTGGTGCCTCGGAGCCATTGGGAAGCCTGTGACTTAAGACAGCTCCTATCCCAAAAGGGGATGCATCTGCGGCTAGGACCAAAGGAAGGCGTTGGTCAAATTGTATTAAGACAGCCTCAGAGGTTAGTAGAGATTTGACTGCCACAAATGCTTGGTTTTCTTTGGGTCCCCAGTGCCATGGTGTGTTTCTGTCTAAGAGTCTGTGCAATGGTTCCGCAACTGACGCCTTGTGTGGGAGAAATGAAGCGTAGAAGTTCAATAACCCCAGGAAGGCTTGTAACTCGGTTTTGTTGGTAGGCGTGGGCGCCTCGTGGATGGCCTTGACTTTCGATTCCACCGGGTGGATGCCTGAGGCGTCTAGCCTGTAGCCTAGAAAGTCCACCTGTCTAGTGGCGATGGTGCACTTCTCCCGTTTTAGTTTGAGGCCATGCTGCCTGAACTTCTCTAATACTGCCCTGACTCTCTGGATGAGTTGGGGTCTGTCCCCGGCTGTGACTAAGATATCATCGAAATAAGGCACTACGCCGGGGAGACCTTGGAGGATTCGCTCCATCAGTGATTTGAAAATACCTGGGGCTACACTTACGCCAAACTGGAGGCGCTTACATCTGAATGCCCCTCTGTGTGTAACTATGGTCTGTAAGTCAGCTGTTTGGTTATCCACGGGGAACTGTTGGTATGCCTGTGACATGTCCAGTTTGGCGAAAATGGTGCCAGGTTCGAATGTGTGTAACAGGTGCTGGATGACTGGGACTGGATATGCGCTAACCTGTAGATAACGGTTGATTGACGTCTTGTAGTCAGCACAAATTCTTAGATTACCGTCTTTTTTTAGCGGGGTGACTATGGGGGTCTCCCACTTAGCGAAATCTGTGGGTTCTATCACCCCTTGTTTTAGTAGTTTGTCTAGCTCCGCGTCCAATTTGGGGCGGATGGCGAAGGGTACTCTACGTGGTTTTAAACGAACGGGGACTGCCTGTGGGTCTACTGAGAAGGAGATGGGAGTGCCCTTATAGCAGCCTAACTCACTACTGAAAACGTCAGAGTAGTCTGTAAATAAGGAGTCAACATCAGAAGTTGAGACAGCATGGACTCCTTTTATACTAAGGCCGAGAGAGGGGAACCAATCCAACCCCAAAAGACTAGGGAGGGCACCATTAACAACCACTAAAGGCAAATGGCCTTTAAAGGTTTGGAATTTCACGAGAAACTTGCCTTTCCCGAGGACGGGGATGTTCTTTCCTTGGTAGTCTCTCAAGGTGAGATGGCACTTTTGAAGCTGTTTCTTTGTCAGTCTGGGTTGGATCTTCTTAAGTGTGTCCCAAGATATGATTGAGAGCGCTGACCCCGTGTCTACTTCCATGCGGCAGGGATTACCTTCTAGTAAAACAGAAAGTGTAATTTTATTGGGGGTATAGAGTGTGTGGTTGGCTTGGTAGCAAGTATGGCATTTTTCTACTTGCCTTCGGGGAACAGGAGAGGAAGGATATCTTTGTGGAGATGTGCGCGCTGCCTGGCAGACTCTTGTGAGGTGACCTTTCTTGTGGCAGTTGTGGCAGGTGGCGTTTCGGAACCTGCAAGATGTCCGGGAATGGGAACCTCCACAGGTCAGGCATAACAGAGTTTGTTTTGGACCACTGTTGTTTCTTGGCCTCGCTCCTACCTGCGGCTGTCTCGTTGGTTTGAGGCGATGCACATCGGAGTATTCTGCCGGGTCATCCTCACTTACCGCTTCTTCAGAGTGTACGGAGGAAGTGCTAGGTCTGGGAGTGGTGCCCTGGATCTCAGCTGCGGACTGTGCTGCAAGTTCTGCAGCTAAGGCTTCCTCAACTGCCTGGGGGAGGTTTAGGTCTCTTCTAGCCAGCAAACGCCTCTGGAGTTTTAGATCCCTCACCCCACAGACGAGTTGGTCTAGTAGCATGTCGTCCAAATAGTTTTTGAACTCACATTGTAGAGCTGCTGTCCTCAGGGCTGCCATATATTGGTTTATGGATTCCCCCTCAGCTTGCTTCCTCATCCTAAAAGCGAAGCGCCTAGCAATCTGAGACGGTTTTGGGGAGTAGTGGTTGGATAGTGTTTCCACCAGCTCTGCCCATGGGACATTCCCTATTTCTCGTGGGGCCAGGAGTGCTGTGGCAGTGTCATATACTACAGCCCCACAGTAGCTGAGGAAGTAGGATTTCTTCCTCTGCTCCGAAGCTTCAGCCAGTCCAATGGCATCGATAAAGTGGTTGAAGCGATTTTTATATGAGTCCCACTTTTCCTCATCGGGTTTAAAAGGGGGAAATACTGAATTGACATTCATTTTGGGTCCCTCAGTCTCTTGGTAGACTGGTCTGCCTCACAGGGAGCTCGTTGTCTTGGATTGATGCTGCTCGGGGGCGTGGGCGGCTGTGGCTACAGTGCCCTATTCTCACTCAAGGACTTTGGCTTTTCTGAGGTGTTTGGATTTTAGTGCTCTTTTGCGAGCGTTAGGCGGCTGTGGCTATGGTGCTGTACTGACAGCGCTTTAAAATTCGAGCCTTTTTTCTTCTTCTTCTTCTTCTTCTTATTATTATTATTATTATTATTATTATTATTATTATTTTTGGGCAAGGCAGCTGAGGCGCTCGCAATTTCACTGGGGAGTCTTCACTTAGAGACGGCTTCTGTAATTAGTGCCCAATTGTGATCGAGGTGGCTGGGGCTCTCAGCGCCGTAGCTTGCTCGGGGCTGCAGCTCAGTGACAGCCGTTAGGATTTTCGCGCCCTTTTTTTTTTTTCGCGCGCGCGGGCGGCTGCGGCTTCAGCGCCCGACTTTCCCTATCTGTGGTGCTCTAACCCGGTTGATCTAACCTGAGCTTTCACTTTTGCGCTGACAGGCTGCTGAGTCCAATGGCTCGGTAAGCAAACGGCAAGCGGCTGCGGCTTCCGCTGACAGGCTCCTGTTCCTTTAGAAAATGCTCCTGGCTAGCCTTCAAATCCCACCTTCGTCGCCAGTGTTGTATTTCAAGGGAAAGAGAGGCTTAGACCAGGGCATGCAATTAACACGTTTATTGAGGAACAGTGGTTGTCGCGTCTGCCAGCCAAACGGGCAGACTAGCTTGCGAGCAACGGCTGGCTTGGCTTGACAGCCGGCTTTTTATAGTCGGCTGTCAAACGATGCCAGCCAATAGGAACGGCTGTTGAACTTGCTGCACGAGTGGACCCGGTTGGAGCCCCAACCGGTTCCCAAGACATAACACCAATCATTTGTAATTCCACTTTTGGTACTTTCTCTGTCTTGTCAGACAAAATTTGCTGCACACCTGTCATTGCCTCATCGACATCTTTTGGACTTAATCAATTCAGAGAATTGACATAATTACTGACACTATTGATATTGTCCCAGTAAACCAATACCCAAAGCTGGTCTGTATTTTTTCCCTTCTACTTAGAATCTTTAGCCCACTCTAGTCTCTAGTTTCTAAAATCATACAGTTGCTGATCGTGAGAACCATATGGTAACTGCAAATTTATTTGGGTTGGAATCATGTAAATCCACCATCTTGTATTAAAAATAAAATCTCCAATATTAAAGAGAAAACCATTATAAACCCACTTAATTATATCCTGAAGTTACTAATATGAACTGAAGCCATTAACAGCAGGTTAACTGCAGTTTTTGTTAAGTTTCATTAAATTTTGTTGCAGCAGAAAACAATCTGAAGTAAATAAATTACTACTGGAATATGAATAATCCAATGTCCACAATTATTAATTTTTAAGTTTACACTAAAATATGGAAATATTTTATATATAATTAATCATTGAGCATTATTGATTATCAAGACTACATTATTTTTCTCATTACATCATAGTTCATTGTAGCTTATTCAACCACTAGTGGTTCTTTTCTTGTTATTGAGATCCTGAAAAGTTAAATGATCTGTAATATAGGAAAGAATTAAATAATTCAATACTGTTAAACATCCAACTGCACAATACTGGACTAAAGTTAGTTAATTAGCCTTGGTTATAATTCATCTAAAATTCTAACTACAGAAAGCTAGCAACTCTCACTTCTAACTTACTTTCAGTAACCTGTAGATCAGGGGTCTCCAACCTTGGCAACTTTAACACTTGTGGACTTCAACTCCCAGAATTCCCCAGCCAGCATGAACAGGGCTAGGGAGAACTTTCAGGTCAAAGAACAAGAATAAATTTTTAGGACCTCATGGCCCATCTCTGGTTGGATTTAATACCTTCTAGAGTAGGGTTCTCCAACCTTGGCAACTTTAAGACTTCCTCAGCAAAGCTGGCTGAGGAATTCTGGGAGTTGAAGTCCACAAATCTTAAAGTGCCCAAGGTTGGAAACTCCTGCTGTACATAGAGTGTATACTTTGGAGATGAATTAAATATTGCCTTATTAAAAAGCACTTGTGAGGTAATTAAAACATATTCTGGGTAAATTGTTATGTTTTTTTATAGGAAATTTATTGATCAAATTACAGAAAGACCTTTTACAAATGGAAATAACTATTATAACAGTATGGCAAAAACTGTCCTATCAAATAGTTTTTCATTTTCCCTTGGAGGTGTTGGTGAAATATACTGTCAAAGCTGTCTTTGACAAAACCAGCTATGATAGAAGAAACACGTAACATTCCAGGTATTCATTCCACATTTATTATTATATCTCCTAAGAAGGAAATTCACCTAGTTTGATCACAGTAAGAACCAGTGTTCACTTTTTCATACTCCTCCAAAATTGATTTGGGGTATTATTGGCCATCATCTTTCATGGAAAAAAAAATAGGATATGAACAATACACATAACTAAAAAATGGTATAGAGCCAGAAAATTCCACTAAAATGTTCATTGTAAAATAGCATGATAACAAAATAAAAATCTAGTAGAAGAGATTGATAAAATTTAAAATGCCGGGGAAACATCTCACGTTGGGGATCTTGGGCCACAAATAAGAAAGGATGAGCTTTGCAAAATGACAGGTCTTGTTTCATGAGATCATTGTGAACACGTCAATATTTTTCATTGTGGCTGCATTTCTGGGAAGAAGAGTTTCATCAAAGGGACACCATGGTAGAAAATAACTTTGGATTATAATATCAAAAGTATTATGTCACATAAGTGAATGTAGCATGCAGTGCCATTTTTACTGATGGCAACAGCATGTCTTTGGAGCATCCAGCAAGCATCTTTTGCAGCTGGACTAACTTGTGATTCATTAGGAAGAGAGAATAAGAATTAAATTTAGAATAATCCAGGCAATGCAGGAGCTCTGCCCTGTACTGCTTCTTTCCCACCATCTACTCCATGCACTGTGTAGATCTATTTATCTAGTACCTTAGAGGTAGAGATTCTTGATTCAGAATACAACTGGATTCATGGTATTCAACAAAGTGCTATGATTTGTATTTGCAAAAAAAAAAATAACTTGGCAACCATCTGCTATTATTTCTGTAGAGTAAAGAAAAAAGACTAAGGGAAACTTGGGAGCAGTTGGAATTTGGAAGGAAAACAGACAGTTCTGCTTTGTGTACACCAGTCCAGCATCGGCAACTTTAAGACTTGTGGATTTCGGTATCCAGAATTTCCTACCTAGCCATATTGCAGTTTATTTTATGAATGAAAGAAAATATACATGTCCAAGGATAATGTTGTAGGATCCAATCTGGGTCAGTTCCCAAGACCAGAGCCACATGAAGCTTGACATAACCCTAACCCTAACCCTAACCCTGTGCTTTATCAGTTGCTGGAACCTCTGAGAATGGGTACCCCTGTTGGGGCATTACATACTCCAACTCTTAACAAGACCTTTGGCAAGGACACTCCCGTAATATCTCATTTGACAAACACAAGAATATCTCTGTACATCTATATATGCAATTTCACAAAGACTGCCACTTTAAGTCATTACCTTCAAGCATCACATCGTACCAATCAAATTTCTTTGAAAAGCCCTCTTGGGCCAACTCAACTTAACATTCTTAGAAATCTTAAACACATTTGCCTAAAAGTAAGTGCCATTGTTCTCCATAGAGTTTATTTCTAAGTAGATGTTAATAGGATTGAACTATTGTAAAAGCACAGGATCCGTTTAAATTCTGATCACCCTGCTTAAGAAAGATAAATTGAAATTTGTACTAAGAGAGCAGAGGAACACTGATTTATGAAACGTAAGGGTACAGATATTATGCATTTATCTTTGTGTTCCACAGAAACAAGAATAGCCAGGATCCAGGGACTTAAATGTAAAAGAAGGCAGAATTAACAGCATTTCTTTAAGGGTGCTAAAATAAAATATTAGGTGGCAGCCACTACAAACCTCTATTTCCCTTTGCAGAAGGCAGAAAGTTGCACAGAAAGCAGCTGGTGACATTGTACTCACTGCTTCCTGAAGACTAATTGAGAATGATAAGGGGGAGAAATTTTTATGTAATATATAGCTGTACACATTTCACCCCAGATGCTCATCAAACACATCTGCTCTTTGATGCCAATAAACAACCCATCTTCCAAGATCCTTCCTTCCTCCAAAATTCATCAACAGCCTGGAAGACAAAGAGACATCAGGGAGGTACAAATCTGAAGCTTGTTGCTTCAATTACAAGTCCGTTCCCTTACAATTTGAAACACACCATTAGAGGTTACTCACTTTACCGTTCCCAAAAGGAAGTCCATTCACCAGCTGTACCATATCCTGGTATTCACATCATGCTAACTAAGGCATGTACTGTAGCTGTAATGGTGTTTTCTGCAACCTTGAAATTTGATTGTTTTTTTTCTCTCTCTCTCTCCTGCCCTCCCTCCCTCCCTGCTCCTCCCCCTCCCTCCCTCCCTCCCTCTCTCTGTAACTTATTAATTTGTTGCTGGTATTGCTCACATTGGGAAAGGAAAAGCATTTAAATAATTTTATAGCAATGTTCTGTGTAATACATACATTTCCATAGTTGTGAAACAAGGTAATAGGGTTTTCTATTTCCTGCTAAAATTACCCAAGCTGATAAATATTTAAGGAATTATAAGGACAAGTTGAAAACCTCACCAGACATGACTTATTCAGCCTGAATGAAATGGAACAAAAATAGAAATCCTTGAAAGTTATGAATATGTTTTACATGCTTTCTGTGGATCAAATTAGGATTCAATATTATACCATAATAAAGAACAGGTATACTTCACTGAAAGACTCTGCTTTCTCTTCCTCCTCTTTATTTAGAGTTTGGAAAGAAAATGAAAACTAACTAACACAAAATAAAAAAGAAAGGAACAAAAGACTTCTGGTTTGAGCTTCTTCGATGATGGACTGAAATCCACGATTGTGTGCAGTTTCGATCCATGCTCACCACCGGAGCGCCCTGAGCCAGCTGGATTCAGGGCAAAGCCACCACCTAGAGGTGGTGAAGATGGGGGAGACCGCCAGCAGGGTCGAGGAGAGCTGCACCTCTCCTCCCCAGCTGGCCATTACTCCCTTTCCTGAAGGCGGTTGCAGCGGTGGTCAGAAATGGCCACCTCAAAGAAGAACTCAACCGGAAAAGAATGTGCAGGAGGAAGAAAGTTTTGGTTGACTAGGTTAAACTGAAAAAGCAATAACATAAGGTACTCTGGAATTTGAACTATAAAGAATAACATTGTTCCCAAAGGAGATTTTGAAGTGGCAAAGGAGAGAGGAAAGGGAAAGGATTTGGGCTTTTTTTCTTTCCTTCCTCATATTGATAGCTAAAATATTTAAGTAAGAAACTGACAAAAATCCACCTTGACATCAATAGGCATTCAAGTTGGAAATAAAGTGTCAAAGGGATAACAAAAACTTTTGGATATTCAAAAACTTTTAAAAGAAGGAAAGGAGAGAAAAGGAAAAAAACAAAAGGGTGGGATCTGGAAAAATGGAGGTGACCACCTGGAAGTAAAAGGAATTAACAGTGAAACTTTAACAAGATTCCTAAAAGATACATTTCAACTGAAACTTTGTAACAAGATAATAGAGACCAAGGAAGAGAAAGTGGAAAAAAGAAACAAGAAGAAACAGCTTTGGATTATTTGGATTACTTGGTGATTTTTGGTTATTGGACTTAATTGACTAAAATCAATCGGGTGGTTGTTTAAAAGTGTTTAAAATGGCATCACTCTTGGAGGAACTGAAAACAGAACTTAAAAAACAGAAAGAAGTTGCACAAGAAGGAAGAGGTTTTTTTGGCTTCATATTTCAATTTTTAGAAATGGAGATCTTGAACTATGAGAAACAACAAGAAATGCTGTAGAACAAGAAGGGTGGGACAAAGAAGAAGCCATCTTTAATGACCAAGTAATTCTATGTGGGGGAAAAGAAGGAAAGGGGGGAAAGAGAGTGAAAAATTTAAGATTTGAAAAAACAACCAAAAAAAGAGAATAGCTTGAAAAGTACAATATTAGGAAGAAACAGAAGAGAGGATTACAGAAGAGAGAATTAGAATTAGAGAGACAAGGGGTCAAAAAGGGGAGGGAGAAGAAGAGGGGGAAGAGGGAAAGGAAAAGAAGTTATAAAGGACATAAATAAGATATAGAGAAACAGGGAAAACATATAAGGATTAAAGGTATAAGCCTATTTAGAAGACATAGAGATAATGGGTGAAAATGTAATTGAAAGAGGAATTCTGCAAGGGTACATAAGATAGTATTGTTATATTAGAAATAGAAATAGACTTAGAAAATATGAAACAAGTGTGATTAAAATGATAGATAAAATACTTATTGTAATGGAATGGAATATTTGTTAATAAATAAATGAAATAAAGAGAATGAGAGAAGGAAATTAGCAAAGGATGGGAACATTTTAATTATTATTAATGATTTATAAAAATTTAAGTAAAGAGAAACTTGAAAGAAATATGAAAAAAATTATGGAAATATTATAAATGTTCCTAAGGAAGTATGATATTCAACTGAAAAGAAATGTTAAAGATGTTAAAGATTACAACTAACATCAATGATAGAGCTGAATTGGAATAGAATAAATATTTTATTTATTATTGTTATATATATATTTTCTCTGTAAGAACATAGTGTCTATTTAAGAATATACCAAGCAAAATTTGATTGGAAATTATGTGCTATATTGAATGTTATAATTGTAAAGGCATAAATTGAAGTTTAAATAAGAGTTGAATGGACAAAATTAAAATATACAAAGGTGTTATACTCCAATCAGTAACTACAAGGGAAAATTTGTTTAATGAGAAAAGAAAATATGAAATTGAAACAGGACAGACAAAAGTATAAATATAATGATTAGAAAGATATTGAAACTTAGAAAAAGATATATAATTGAATCTAGATAGGTATGAGATAATTAAAAACAAGGTTGAGATAACTAAGGGAGGGGAAAAATTACGGAGAAAATGTTAAAATAGTAATAAGATATGGAATAGAACACAAAGATGAATATGAATTTGAGTTTGTGTCTGTAATCTGTATGGAGAAGTGATAGCCTGGGATCATGCTATTCTCAAAGAAAATATTTTATTTGTATTATGTTTTGTGAAAACCCAAATAAAATTTTTACAAAAAAAGGAGAAAAAGACAAAAAGTACAAAAAGAAACAATGAAAATAAGTAGCGTCCAATTTTTTCTGCAGTAAATGTAAGTACAATTACAAAATTATTTATTGCTTTATTTATTGCCATAAATCATAAGATTATTACTTTTTCTGTTTCATGCAAAAAAAATCTATAACAGTTTTCAGTCAGCACTAACTGTAGATGTTCTTTCCTCTATTCAAGGATAATATAAGCCATTTTTGCTGGTGAAACAAAGAGAACACAGCTTTTGCCAATCTTTTTAATTACTGTAAAAATCAAAAATTGCACCAAGCATTTTATGCAGAGTTGGAAGCTTCAGGAAAATGGAAAAAATAGAGAAGAATGAGCATGAACATGTGTGTGGTAAATATATTCTGGTCAAAATGACATACAATCAAAAGGACGCTTATTCAATCCTCTCTGCAGTTTCATTATTCCAATAACTCTTTAGTTGCTATTATTGTCACTGTCATTATTGTCTTCTGTTTTAATACTGAAGAATCTGTGATTTTTAATTACTTGGATGACAATTATTTGCTTGAATTTATCTGCAAGTTTGATTTTTTTCCCCAAATAATTTGCATTTTTCATACAGTTTTAATAGATGTATTAATTATTAAATAACATTTTCTAACAGGAAAATAGTTTCTCTCTATAAATGAGAATTAGCTGTTAGGAAAAGTGAATTCAATGTTCCAGATTTTTTAGCTTTATTACAGGACATTTAACAGATTTAATAGATAATCAGAGTTGGAAGGGACCTTGTAGGTCATCTAGACAAACCCCCCACCCAAGCAAGAGACCTTACACCATTTCTGACAAATGGCAGTCCAATCTCTTCTTGAAAGTCTCAAGTGATGGCGCTCCCACAACTTCCGAGGGCAAGCTGTTCCATTGGTTGATTGTTCTCACTGTCAGAAAGTTTCTCCTTATTTTCAGGTTAAATCTCTTCTTGTTCAGTTTCCATCCATTATTCCTTGTCTGGCCTACAGGAGCTTTAGAAAATAGCTTGACCCCCTTCCTCCCTGTGGCAGCCCCTCAAATATTGGAAGACTGCTATCATGTCTCCCCTGGTCCTTCTCTTTAGTAGATTAGCCAAGCCCAGTTCCTGCAACCGTTCATTGTATGTTTTAGCTTCCAGTCCCCTAATCATCCTGGTTGCTCTTCTCTGTACTTTTTCTAGTTTCAACATCTTTTTTATAATGTGGTGAACAAAACTGGATGCAGTACTCTAGGTGTGATCTTACTAAGGCTTTATAGAGTGGTATTAGCACTTCCCTTGATCTTGATTGTATCCCTCTGTTAATACAACTTAGGATTGCATTAGCTTTTTTGGCAGCTGCTGCACACTGCTGGCTCCTATTTAGCTGGTTGTCCACTAAGACTCCAAGATCCCTCTCACAGTTACTGCTATTGAACCTGGTTTCACCCAGTCTATATATGTACTTTTGGTTTTTCTTGCCTACGTGTAGGACTTTACTTTTCTCTACATTGAATTTCATTTTGTTAGATATGGCCCAGTGTTCTAGTCTGTCAAGATCCATCTGGATCTTGAGCCTATCTTCTTGGGTGTTAGCTATTCCTGCCAGCTTAGTATCATCTGCAAATTTGGTAAGTTCCCCTTCTATTCCCTCATCTAAGTCGTTAATGAAGATATTGAAGAGTACTGGGCCTAAGATGGAACCTTGTGGCACCCCACTGCTTATTTCGCTCCATGTAGACTTAGACCTATTAAGGACTACTTGTTGAGTATGGTTTGCCAGCCTGTTGTGAGTACATCTATTAGTGGTGCTATCTATTCCACCACTTTTTTCTAGCTTACTAAGAAGTAGTTTGTGATCTACTTTGTCGCATGCCTTGCTGAAATCTAAATATATTATGTCCACAGTATTTTGCTGGTCTACTAATTTAGTCACTTTCTTGAAGAATGAAATAAGATTGGTTTGGCATGATCTGTTTTTAACAAACCCATGCTGACTGCTAGTTTCTAGATGTTGGCAGATCTGCTTTTTTATTGTCTCTTCCAGTATCTTCCCGGGTATTGATACTAGGCTGATTGGTCTGTAGTTTCCTGGGTCTGTTTTTTTTTCCTTTTTTGAAGATGGGAACCATCTTCTGTGACATAAAGTTAATATGTCAAGTCTTAATAACCAGCTAAAAAGAACAGAACTTTGATTTTGGAAAGTTACAAA